CGGGCTCTTTCTTGGAACTGTGGCTGCCCAGCCTAGCCATGTCCTCGCCGCATGGCTCCTGCCAGCAGCACCCAGCAAGCTGCTCCTTCCAGGAGCCCAGCGTCCACTGGTCTGAGCGTGCACAGCCCATGCAAGGGCCGTGATGCACTGCAAGGACAACAAAACCAGCCAAGAGGACGGAGCCAACTGCGGCCGCGGGGATCATGGCAGGGCGCCGGGTTTCTTTGTCAGTCCCAGGCGGTGGCTGAGGTGAAAGAAGGGCAGGAAGATGGGTGCCCCAGCCAGACCCCCGGCCCGGGAGGCAGAGGTGCCTGGGGAGCAATCCTGAGACAAACCAAACAGCTGGACCTTTATGTCAGCGCTTCTTCACGTACCTGGTACAACAGCTTTGGTGCTGGTGGGGGGCTGTGTGCGTGGGGCTCCCAGCAGGCAAGAAGGCAGCTCTAGTGGGCAACCTGGCAGAGCAGCAGACCCTGCCGGGAGCCTGGTTTAAGAACAGCCTGCCTGCGCTGCCTGCAAGGGCAGCTCAAAGGGCTCCGACATGACTGCTGCTTCAGCCTTGTTTGCTCCACAAAGAGCTCATGAGGCTCATCTCAGAAGCTTAGACACAGCACCCAGGATTCTCCTCTGAGTGGAAGGAGAAAAACCTGGGCGTACTATTTGGAACAGCTGGATGAAAGTTTGGATGATTGCAATTTCTGCTGGGAAGAAGGCAGCCTGGAAAACCCTCACCCTGCAGTCAGCCACCACCGGCCACTAGCAGCTCAGGCCACATGAAACCTGCGGAGCCAAGCGCTTCACAGCTGCCCGAGGAGACCCAGCAGCGCTGTTAAGCCCAGCTGGCAAACTGAGGCACAAAGAGTTTATAATCCAGCTCCTTAACCACCTTTTGAAGCCTCTGGGATTCAAAAGGGCCCTGGGACCTGCTCAGGCTCCTGGGCAATAGGCAGCCCAAGGCCAGCGAGTGCCTGGACACCCTTCCCCTCACGCAGTGCCAGAGTGGCAAAGCTCCAGGGACGCCTGTGAGCCCTGTGAGCCCTGTAGGACAGCATTTGCTGACCCTCACAGGCTGGTACCACTTTCCTGGCCTGGAAGTGCTGGTTTTTACGCTGAGGGTGGTGAAACACCGGCAACGGTTGCCCATAGGGGTGGTGGATGCCCCATCCCTGGAAACATTCCAGGTCAGGTTGGAGGGGGCTCTGAGCGACCTGATCTAGTTGAAGATGTCCCTGCCCACGGCAGGGGGGCTGGACTAGATGAGCTTTAGAGGTCCCTTCCAACCCAAACTATTCTATGATTCTATAAGTGTGCTCTGTGCTGAGGCCTTCTGCCCCCAGTGTGACCCCAAATAAAGAGGGATTGGCTACAGCTTATTCCTCTCATCTAAAGCCACTCATGAAAGAGCTCCAGTTCTTTCCCGAGCTTTCCTTCCCAGGATAAAACTGCTCTTACCTGGCAGCCGCCTCTCAGCAAAGCAGCCCAGGTGAATATCAGGGCTCCATCTTTCACACACGTGGGAGCACACGGTGGGAGATGCCTCTCCCCGGCTCCAGCCCAGCAAGCTCACAGAGGAGATTTGGCTGCACGTTGGTCCCGCTGGGACTGGGAACTGGGACC